GAGTTTATACCAAAAAGTTCTACTTTGGTTTCATCTGACCACATGACATTCTCCCAATCCTCTGCTGTATCATCCATGTGCTCTCTGGCAAACTTCAGACGGGCCTGGACATGCACTGGCTTCAGCAGCGGAACACGTCTGGCACTGCGGGATTTGATTCCCTGCCGTTGTAGTGTGTTACTGATGGTGACCTTTGTTACTTTGGTCCCAGCTCTCTGCAGGTCATTCACCAGGTCCCCCCGTGTGGTTCTGGGATCTTTGCTCACCGTTCTCATGATCATTTTGACCCCACGGGATGAGATCTTGCGTGGAGCCCCAGATCAAGGGAGATTATCAGTGGTCTTGTATGTCTTCCATTTTCTGATGATTGCTCCCACAGTTGATTTTTTCACACCAAGCTGCTTGCCTATTGTAGATTCACTCTTCCCAGTCTGGTGCAGGTCTACAATACTTTTCCTGGTGTCCTTCGAAAGCTCTTTGGCCTTGGCCATGGCGGCGTTTGGAGTCTGACTGTTTGCGGCTGTGGACAGGTGTCTTTTATACAGATGATGTGTTCAAACAGGTGCCATTCATACAGGTAACGAGTGGGGGACAGAAAAGCTTCTTACAGAAGACGTTACAGGTCTGTGAGAGCCAGAGATTTTCCTTGTTTGAGGTGACCAAATACTTATTTTCCACCCTAATTTACGAATAAATTCTTTACAAATCCTACCATGTGAATTCATGGATTTTTTTTTTTCACATTCTGTCTCTCACAGTTGAAGTGTACCTCTGGTGCAAATTACTGACCTCTGTCATCATTTTAAGTGGGGGAACTTGCACAATCGGTGGCTGACTAAATACTTTTTTGCCCCACTGTAAGTGAAATTTCTAGTGTATGCTGACCCATCTTATTTTAACCAAAAAAAAAACCAATCAAATTTTTTTTAGCTCCAAGACTTCCTGACTGGTCATGGGATGTTCGCAAAATAGGATATTTTAAACCCTGCTGGTCACAAGGGATTCATTTCCTCACTAGTATAACTGTAACTCCAGTCACAGCTCTGGGCAGCTTGTAATGTTTGTAATGATTTTTAAAGCCAGGCACAAACTGACGGTAGTAGAACCATCTCACTTCCTTTTTGGTCTCGGGACATGAGAAGAATGCAATTCTCCACCTGAGGATGCACCTGGCCGCCTCCCAAGTGGTCCCCAAATACTCCACTTTCCCCTGTCCAACAGCACACTCCTTTGGGTTGGCCATGAGCCTTCTCTGCCTCAGAGACTCCAGGTGTGACTGGGGTGATGCAATTGTCAGTTTATAATTTTTTGTTTCTTTATTAATATTCAGGTCTGTCTATTTGTGTATGTTACGGTACACAGAGACAGGGAACAGTTTGCTTTCTTACATGTTCTAATGTTTTTTAGTGTTTCCTGAACAAGTTTGCTCTTAAAGTCTGCATTTTGTGAGAGTGAATCTTAAGGTGCTTCAGCTCACCTCTACTGAGAATCATTAACGTGATGGTTGACACTTTCAATCATATGTACCTATTTTTAGTGATATCAACTTCAATAGCAGGCAAAGATCATATCACAATAGTGGTCATAAGCTTTTGTTGCTAACTTCGTTTGCACTCACAAAAAGTCAAACTTGAGGTATCATGTGACTTTCTTCTGCACAAAATGGATCATCTGAGCATTACCTACTCTAATCAAAGATATTGTCTGATTACCTGACTTAAGAGGCCACTCACAGTCAATTATGCGCTCACGTGGTTTACTGCAGCCCAGGACCTGTGTTTATTGTGGTATGTTTAACTCCTTGGTTTAGCTTTCCAGTTAAGTGAAATTTCTAGTGTATGCTGACCCATCTTATTTTAACCAAAAAAAAAAAACAATCAAATTTTTTCTTAGCTCCAAGACTTCCTGACTGGTCATGGGATGTTCGCAAAATAGGATACAGTGTTTTAAACCCTGCTGGTCACAAGGGATTCATTTCCTCACTAGTACAACTGTAACTCCAGTCACAGCTCTGGGCAGCTTGTAATGTTTGTAATGATTTTTAAAGCCAGGCACAAACTGACGGTAGTAGAACCATCTCACTTCCTTTTTGGTCTCGGGACATGAGAAGACGGTACACAGAGACAGGGAACAGTTTGCTTTCTTACATGTTCTAATGTTTTTTAGTGTTTGCTCTTAAAGTCTGCATTTTGTGAGAGTGAATCTTAAGGTGCTTCAGCTCACCTCTACTGAGAATCATTAGCGTGATGGTTGGCACTTTCAATCAATCAATCAATCAATCAATCAATCAATCAATCAATCAATCAATCAATCAATAAGTCCATTTATTGATTTCAAAATCTTATTTGGTTTTCATATGTACCCATTTTTAGTGATATCAACTTCAATAGCAGGAAATTAACTGGGCATATTCTTTTGTTTATCTCTTTTTTGTTGCACACTTTGTTTTGTTTTATGGATCCAGATTGCAAAACAAATGTTGCGTTTCCAGCACACAGACTGTGAACAGAAGGGAACAGAGTAAATGAACACAACACCTCACTTCTAAGACCCACACAGACACTGCGTGTGTAATATTAATGGAAGTGGAAGCGGTGCGGTCACACTCTCATTGAATCGACGGAAGTTTGAGGATCACAATGTTTACCTTCTTATTATGTTAAGGGTCAATTTGACCCATTCTTCTTTGTGCGTTGACCAAAGTACTGGTCATCCTTTCATTTTCTTCATGAAAATTCATGACTTTTCCTCATCTGGGATCATGAACGGGTGTGTAAACTATGGACACTTTGATGTGTCCTGGAATGTCTTTGCAATGTTTGTATATAAAATTATGTTGCAGGTCATTTTGACCCACATACTTATATGTAAGTAAAAACATGTTCAGATCCAAAATAAACATTTCTCTTTGATGTACTTTGTTTTGATTGCCTCTGAAAATACATTCTGACCCAGGTGTGTATGCAAGAAACTTTCTCTCCCCTGCTCTTGTCATGTTTTCATGTCATTTCAACACACCAAAAATGAGCTCCAGAAGGTTGACGGCTGAAAAAGCTTTATCACTGCTTTATAACTGGGATAGTGATGAAGAAAAAATGTTTCAGAGACAGAAGATCTTTCAGAGGCTGAGGACACTGTTGCTGATGATCCAGACTGCCAATTTTCCAAAGGACAGGAGGATTCTGAGGCGGAGTATGCTGCCATCTCTACATCAAATGAAAACCAAGGAATGCAGCAACCATCATCCACAGAGGATACATGGAAATCTAAAGATGATGGTAATATAAAATGGTCATTATCACCACACCAAGTCAAGGCAGGCTGTCATCTTCTAACGTCATCAAAATGACTCCTGGTCCTACAAGATTTGCCGCCATACGAGTTGATGATATTCAATCAACATTTCAGCTCTTCATATCCCCTCCAATAGAGAGGATTATACTGGACATAACTAACGTGGAGGGGAGGCGTGCATTTCAAGAGAAATGGAAGCCACTGGATCAGACTGACTTGCAGCAGTAGTAGGTGCATGATCTAAGGAGCTTGGAAAGAAAAGCATCTGGACTTCTTTAAGTTGCTTGAAGACGTTTCACCTCTCATCCGAGAAGCTTCTTCAGTTCTAGTACTGAGGAAGCTTCTTTTCAACATAATACAAGGGTTATTTGCGCTGCTGATGTTAAGGAAATTCAGCCAGCCAGGCCTGAGGTTTTCATTCGCCAACTTGCTGTTTGGCCCGCGTCTTTTAGCGCACGCGAGAAACTTCAAGACATTATGCACACATATTAACGCTCCTCCAAATAGTCACAGCTTTATTGCAGCATCTAGATTTTTGTGTTTTCGTTTGTTTTGTTTTTTTTCTTGATGAAAAAACGGATAGTAAACAAACAGATTGTACGCTTAAAACATGATCCCTCTATGTCGGTCACTGTGTGTCTCTTTTTAGCTTTTTTTTTTTTTTTTTTTTTTAAACAACAACTATTATTTAATCTTTAAACAACAAACAAACCGTTTAACAACTTCTACACACGGATGCTGAAGGCATAAATTGCACTATTTTATACAAAAAGCGTTTATTGACAATCATAACATTGAGAGCAAAGAAATGTAATATAATGGAGTCTTCTAAATGTCATTCGTTTTGGAATGGTCGTTTTCCCGTGTTTGTGCTGTAGTGAAGTGCACGTGACCGCAAGATGTGCACGATCTGATGTCCTCGTGTTGGTGTTGTTCCCACATCATCATAATTAAGGTTGCTCCAGATTCAACATTGCAAGTGACCAATCGCATTGTGGGACAACTGGGAGTTCTTGATGTTGATGTAGTGCACCACCTGTTAAATTGCTGCTCAGTATTCTGATGCTTTGCAAAAACTGCTTTTATATGGCTACATAATCCTTAAAATCCCAAGTGCTTTATTTTGGGAAATAAATGCCTGCGATCTCCCAAAATAAAATCTTATATGCTGTTTTGCAACAACGGCAAGCTGCACAAGATGTTTATATTTTCAGTCACCATTCTACTTTGAGTAAATTTAAAGTTGCAGTTATTAGACGTTGGGAAGCAGAAGAAACAATATAAGAATACTATGTTGGGAAAGAAGACAACAGCTGTTGTATCATGCCACTCTAACCCGTGCAGTCAAACTGAGTAGCTGCAATAACGGAGACAGGAAGGAGATTGGCTTGAGGTCCAGTTATTGTATGAGTAACCTTGACGGTGGGACTGTGGGAAAACATCCCGAGTATGACAATTTAGGACAAAATATCCAAACATAACGTTGTTCAGCCAGTCCATAAAACCTGAACCTAACATTATGAAAGGAAACAAGGAAGGCAAGAATGAGCTTAATGTTATTATTATTATTATTATTATTAGTAGTAGTAGTAGTAGTAGTGTTGTGCATACGCCTTTTGCACGTCCGTCTTGTGTTCACACCAGCTTCACGGTTTGTTTATAAATGCCACTGATATTCTCACAAGGGAGGTGTGGCTAACGTAGTATTTAAACTCATCCCTTTGTCAGTTTGGATCTCACTTTCAGTGGGTAATCAGAGTTCAAAATGTTCGTGCTTTGGGCGCTACGATTTGGTAAGTTATTCGACATCATTTGCCGAAATCGGTTTTGATGCGTTATATGGTTTTTGTGCGCGCGTGTGTGTTTTAATTGAATAATAATGCTTTGTGCTAATTTTTCAGCTTGGGTGATTTTTGCTTGTGGTAAGTAGGGTTAAGGTTTGTTTATTTATTTGCACAACACTGCATGATACATATTTGATATTATTATTTTTTATTATTTTTTTCTTGATTTTGTTCAAAAAAGAACATTATAAATGTTCTTTTTTGAACAACCAGAAACGACCAGAAACAGACGGTTATTCCTTAGGTGCGAAAACGTGTTATGTATGTCGATTCGGCAATTTACAGTAGTGCTGGTGAAAAATCACAGCTGGTAGCGTGACTGTGGGCGGTAGACGGATTCTCATTTCCCAGATCACCAAGGACTTTTGTTTTACCATTATAGGCTCCATTGTCGCAGTAGTCCATGTGTAACTCTCATCATGTAGAAAAAAATGTTGACAAATGAACTTGTTTTAGCCTTAACTAAGAAGCGACTCACGTGACTGTGCTTGTTGACAAACTCTGCAGGAGGAACCAGCGCAGCCTCCAGAAACAACTGTTATCGGTGAGTCCTCCTCACTCACTGTCTGTACTATTTGTGTTTTGTAGTTCAATCACTTGACCCATCTTTACAGGTTAAGCTCTGCATTAGAAGCCATGTTTCACACAAGAACAGACGGGGAGACGTAATGGTTATGTAGACTGTAGCAATGCGGTGTTTTAAAGATGACACTATTATGATTTACATATCAGAATGTACCGAAAATTGAGAGGAAAAAACTGGAAGGGCACAATCCATTTTGTTTTTAAACTTAAATCATGGGACCAGAACTGATCCTGTGTCTGTCACAAAAGTGCAAACATTGCGAAAGCTATAAGCGCATGAACCAAACAACCTCACAAAAACTTTAAATGTAAGCACAGAACGTCGGAAGCATCTTCTAGAGTCTCACTTTGAAATATTATATGTTCTACAGCAAAAGCTGTATTTACTGTTATTTATGTTATCTTTTATTTTTAGAAAAGACTGTAATGGAACATGGTATGACATCCAAGAGGCTACTTGCTGTGAAAACAAACTTTACCCTGGTGCAAGTTTCTCTTGTTGTGGAAATGAGCCTTACAATCCGGAAACAGCCACTTGTTGTAAAGTACAGCATGAGCACGACATCATAGGTAATGCATTTGTAAACTAAAATTGTAGTGGTGACATTAACTGTGCAAGAAACTGAATGTGATGGAAAAAATAATGCTTTAATAGAAATTACAGACAGGCAATAACATTTTACACATTACTGTTTACATGAACAGACATCACATGTTCAGCAGTTACACTGTGGTTCTGGTATCCGTGTCTTGTTTTTACAGCCAGTGTTGACCAGGGTCTGAATGAAAAGGTATCCAAGTGCTGTGACCTGAAGGCGTACAACCCAGTCAATGAAATGTGTTGTCAGTCAACCATCACAGCAAAACCTGGACCAATGGCTGAATGTTGTGGTAAAGGTGAGCAATGCTGGACAAACTAGTGAAAAACATCACACCAAACATACAGCATACAATTAAAACATAACATTACATCTAAACCATCACAAGATCTCAGGTGTCTGTGAATTTTTAACAATCTGATTTGCTTGAGTGTTAAACACTGAGGCTTAGCTAGTCAGGCTCCTTATTTCAGTAAGGTGTAACAATTTTATTTTAGATTCCTCAAAGCAGCTTATTTTGTTTTTTTGCTTTATTTTTGTGAATTCTTGAGTTTGTTTTTTTCATTGTTTTTCTAGTGTTTAAATTTTGGATTCTCTTTTAATTTTAATGTTTGTTCTAAACATTTTGAGTTGTGTCTGAGTTGTAGCCACTGTTTAGCATTTATGTAGTTTTAGATTTCTCTCTACATTTCATTTTTCTAATACTGAGTTTGATTTCTTGTATTGTGTTTCTTTGACGTACTTTGATGTACTTTCTTTAAGTACAACACATCATCCAATAGTACGATGTGTTGTACTTAGGTAGTTAGTTGCCTTTTCTCATATGTCAAAGGCAAATGTAAAAAAAAGAATTATTTGACGTGCTTGAAACTTTCAGTTGGGTTGTGCCAAAGTAAATAGTGTTATATACAGTAAACAGTCCTTTACAGCTACTGGTACAATCCAATCCAAGAACCACTTAACTAAAGAGAAACAAAGGAAACAACAAAACTGAGATTTTTGATTCCAGATGACATGTCTTTGTGAGAAACAAAGATGTTTAACAAATGGTGATGCTGAGTACAAGCATCATTGTTTTCAGTAGGACTATCAGCAAAATAAAGACTAAGTTATGGTTGAGTATGATTTTTTTTTAAAAAACATGTTTTTCCCCACAGAGGTTTTTGATAAGGATAAGCAGTTGTGTTGTGGTCCAACTGATAACAGGATAATTTTGGTGAGGAATTCTAGCCACCACCGGTGCTGTGGCCACAACCAGTATGACACCAAGACTCAGTGCTGCTGTACAAATAAGGAAAACATTCTGGAGATACAACCTAAAGATTCAGACTGCTGCATGGAGGACTCTCCAGCAGGTAAGCTCACGTAACTGCACATCACAACTATTTACATTTCAACTCTTAACACTGCAAACCACAACACAATAAAATATAGATTCAAATATGCAAAGCAAAACAAAAAAGTGAACACACAGACCATTTAGAAATACTAAGTGCCTCAACTTTGAGAAGCTGATCCATTTTTTTCTGTCAGTAATTATCTGTCCTGTTTTGGAGAAGATACTCTCAGAGGGGACTGTTGCCATAATGCACAGTCTCTGTGTCCAGATTTTGCGTGTTTTCTTGGTGTAACTCATTTTCTTTACTATACTTTTCAAATTTGATGATGTTGACTCTTGTTGTTGCCCACACCTCTCTTTTCTCTCTCCATCCTGCTCTGTTTGTGTGCTACTGCTGCTGCAAGTGCTGCAAACACAAGGCAGAAACACACATTGACAAATCACGTGTTGTGTGAAGCGAAAAAAAGTGAGAGAGGGTGAAAGAAAAAAATAGAAACATGGCTACCAATAGGGAGCCAGCTTTCCTTTCTTTAAAAAAACTATAATTGATTGAGTGATAACACTTTAATTATTCAGAGGGGAATTGTTTTACATGCTCTGGCACCATCATGTGCACCCCTTCTGACCATACATAGAGTACACAAACATAACATTGGGAAGACAGGTCAGAGAGGTATGAAAAAAACACAATACATGAGAAAAGAGGAGGAGAAAAAAGAACTTCTCCCAGACTGAGCTCCAAGGGGAGAGCAGTTTAAGAACAGAAAAAAACACCTCAGCACAGAAAGCACCTAAATCTTCAGGTCTTACGACATAAAATCACATGACTTGCAAGGGGGGTGGCGAGGTTAGGTATTAACCCATGTAGACAGCACGGTGGGAGTAAAGTACTCTCTCAAGTAGAACACAAGTTCTACTTGAGAGAGAGTGTCATTTGACCTGTGACCTTAAAGGATAGGAGCAGATAGTCAAAACACAGTTATGTCATCAATGAAGATTGTTGTTCTGGCCAGTCTTGGCCTTGGGTAGCCACATGTAGGAGATAGTTGTTTGGGTTTGAACGAACAACTGCATTCCAATTTCCAAGTTGGTCTGAATGTCCATCACTGGTCATCAGGTCTCTCAATTCCTATTGCAGAGCCATGAGCTTCTCCAAGATCTTATCAATATTGCGTTCAATAAAGACAGTCTGAGTACTCACTCATCTTCAATTGTGTCGGCCAGCCTTGTGGGGTTTTGAACAACTGTAACTACTTTCTTTGTTCTATGATAAAACAGGTCCAAGCCAGCTCCAATCAGCCAGAACTCTGTTATCATTGTTCCAAACACTAGACAAGGACATAGAAGCCAAACAGGAAAGATAAGGGAGGGAGAGGGAAATAGGATGCATCCGCCTCCGCCAAGAGCAGTAATAGATGATTATCAATATGACAACCGCTAACAACAATGTTGCTTATGCTAAACAGTAACAAATTTTGTATTTTCTATTTTCCTTTGATCATCTCTTATCTTCACGAAGTCCAAAACTAATCATACAGTAGTTAAAGGAAGGTTGTGTAAATTACTGTAGCTGATGCCTGTATGTTGACTTTCTCTTTGTCTCTGCAGTTCTTCCATGTGGAAATATAACCTTCAACAAACATACGCAACTATGCTGTCAGTTAAATGTTGTTCACAAATCTCCACAGAAGTACAAATGTTGTGATAAAAGTAAGTCGAGCTAATTATAGAATAAGCATTCCACTTAAACACAAGAACAGTATTTTAAAGCTATACTGCATGATAAAAAGGTAAACCCAGTGGTAGCATAACATGAACTTAGCTACGATTACGATACACTGTATGTGTTTCAGTTTTTAAGATCTGGATCTTTTCCACAGGGGCATATGATGTGGAAAAGGAGCTGTGTTGTGGCCCAAGTAATAACAAAATAATTCTAATGAGGAATTCCGGTAATCACCAGTGCTGTGGTCACAACCATTATGACACTGACACTCAGTGTTGCTTTTTGAATAAGGAGGGTGTTCTTGAGATTCAACCTAAGGATCCATCTGGCTGTAAGTCAGCTTTATGTGAAAGTCAGAACTTGCCAAAGACAAATTCATACAGATATTAGAAATCTATTTTTAAAAAGTGTTTACTTTTAGTAGTTTAAAAGTTTTATACCTAACTTTATATTTAATTTAATTGCAATTCAAAATCTTGTAAAAAAAAAAAACAATGTCAAGATTACACTTTGTTCCATCTGGCACCATTTTATAAACCAAATCCTATTATTTGTTTTATTTATTTGTTTATTTTCAGTCAAAAGCCTTTATCCTTTATGTCCACAGGTGTGAGAGAAAAGGTAAGAAATACACTCCAATAAATGTAGGGTTCTTATTCTCTTTGTATTCATTCATACAGTGATCAGTAAAGAAACATTTTGGTCCTTTATTTGCCAATATGGGTGCATTAAAACATCCTTTTTATTTCTTTTTTTTTTTGTCAGACAGTTGAGCGCCAGTCTAAGTGGTAAGTTGACTAAAGGTTTTACTCTTAATATAACTTTATTCAAATGTCACAACATTCAGATTTCGTGGAAGTCAAAGTCCAAAGTGGTCCCAGTGGTAGGAACATTAGGAACTGTAATCCAAATACTGGAAGACTGGCTCAAGCAGATTCCAGGGACAACATCTGCAGTGTCATTGTTGTGCTGTATGAAAAGCAGAGGCAGGACACAATGCAGGACTCAGAGACAAAGGAATTAACTGAAGGAGGCAGCTTAATTCACTGTAACAAAATGCTTAAAAGTACAAGTATACAAAACTCAAAAACCAAGAGCTGGGGACTGAAACTAGGAACTCAAAACTAGGGATAAAAAAGGGAACACGCAGGCAAATGCAGCAAACTGGGACGACGCAGCAATGAGCAGAGGGAGACTGAGGACTTAAATGCACAGGATAACAAGGGGATGGGCAACAGGTGGAAAAAATCAGACATAACAAGACAAGGGAATTAAAACTGAACACAATGCACTTGAGACATGGACTATCAAAATAAAACAGGAAACACAACACAGAGACAGAGAGCGAGGGACAGCAAGAGAGCGAGGACAGTGAGAGAGCAAGGGAGACATGACAGGCCGGGGAGAACACAGACGAGACCAAGACAACGAGAACATGAACTAAATAACTAACTAAAACTAAATAAACAAGTAACTAATAACTATCAATACAAATGATTAAACCAGGAAGCACAAGGAAACTGAAAATGCCAAATAAAGACAAAAAAAACATAGATCATCACAATAATAACAAGTTGATGTGGACTGTTTGTGTTTATTTTTGTCTTTGTACATCCACAGCACTGAACCAAAAACACATCTCTGTGGGTCGTTATGTTACAATCCAAAGGAACGTCGCTGCTGTGAGAGAAATCAAGAATCTCACTGGTTCTGTGCCTCAGGTAACACCGTCTCCATGTTTGTTTGTTTTGATATGTGGTTGCCTTATCTGTCAGTTACCATCTCATGGGACTTACCCATCACTCTGTGATGCCAGCACGGCTTCCAGCAAAGCAGTTAGCTCAGTTTTTTTTATCTTGTGTGAAAGAGAAAAACATCTTTCAAAGAAACACTTTCAAACTAAATATCTTAAATCTGAAGTAACACTATGGCAGAATAGCACATTAAGAAACTGAGATATTGTACTTATTTTTGATGGATTTTTGCTAATTTGGAAGTCAAAAATCTCAAATGCAATTCCTTCTGGGAAAGGAACATCTGTACCTCTGTACTTCTTTTTTTGTATTTTTGATTTTGAATTGCACTTTGTATTTTCTGAATGTTCTCAAGTCAATTCAGGTCTCTTCTACAGAGTCATGCTGTTATAAGCAATCATTTTACATCGTCTAACTTGCAGAACTGGCAGAAGTTCCTCCAAATCCTCTATTTATGTCAAAGCATTAATAGGAATTTCATGGTACAAGTAACTCAAGTCCTGCGCACTACTGAGAAGTGAATGGCTTGATGTTTTTTTGTTGGCATGTAGTAAAATGGGTGCATTTAAGCTGTCATCTTAAGAAAAAGACTGCTATAAGCCTGCCAAGAAAGTGTCCTTCCTACCAAAATTTACCAGAGAAACATTTTTTAGGAATTACCTTTACACAAAAAGAGCAGAAACAAGTTGTGTTAAATTCTAATCTTAGGTGTGTGAATACGTTTTTTGTTTACTATACTTTCTTGGGAATAAAGAACCAAAAGGACAAAAGCTGTTTTTGTCCGACTTTAGTCCCCCAGGTTGCTGAAATACATAAAACAGTGAACAATGTTTCTTCATACAAACTGAAAGATTTAGTACTTCGCAAAATTATGTCTTATATTTAATGACAGTGAAGAATGTCACGTCATACTTGCAGACAGTGAAGTACTATCTGTCTTCCATCAGGAAAGATGGAATGATGCGTAAAAGAAAAGCAATGCAATGACGTCTGAAAAAGGTTGTAAACAAGCCTGCATGTATTGAAGTGCTTTTATTTTCACTCTATGGATACAGACATCTAAATGTTTAGTAGCAACCTGTTTTAATGTAACATGTCTGTAGTGCCAATGTTGTCATTATGTGCAGCATTAGTGTAGGGCTGAAATGTGTCATAAAAAATCTCCTGGCATTTTGGCCCACATGACAACCGTAACTTATCACATATCTTCTTCCATCATCCTATAAATCATTAAGCTTTGTAATAAAAAATAAATAAATAAAATAAAAATGGTAGAGCAGTGTTTCCCAATCTTTTGGAACCATGGCACATATTTCACATGAGTAAAATCACACAGCACACCACCATTGATCATTTTTCCCGGCACACCATGCATAGCAGAATTGGCTCGGTTTGTCCCCAGTATACCTTTTTTGCTTTCTTCAGACCACTACTCATACTAGGGCATTCATCTGGGTCAGAATTTTCTCCAGGATCCAGGTCAGATTGACTACTTATTCTTTTCAATATTTATTGCTTTTACACACTGAGTTGTCTCACTCAGCATGATTATGTAATTTCTCCTTGGTCTTCTTCTGTTTTACTGGCAGTTGGCAACCTATTTAATTAGAGGAGGTAGTTGTACTTCCCTCTAGTGGTAGATAATGTAATTGTTCTGCCCATTACTCGCACCGTTCGCTTACAGTACTAATCAGGTGGAACCACATAATCTTCCACGGTACACCTGATCATTTCTCACAGCACACCTATGAGCAGCAGGTGGGTAGGAAACACTAGTTTAGCTTGTGTTTGAGCATTTTGTCCTTGGGATTAACCAGAGTGTCTGGCTGGGTTCGAAGTGCGCTGAGATGTCATGCTGGTAGGGCAAACTCCTTACGACACCAACTGACTGTAACCTACAATCCAGTTTTGAGATTCCTTCCCAGGGGCCTTGACGCCCACTCACATCTTCACTCAGTCAGTTAACCTCAATAGGTCACATGATGGTTTCACCTGAAACCTCTGCTAATAATGACTCACATCCTTTTTCACAACTTGGCCCATTTGATGAGGTATGGGATCAATAGTGGGTCAATGACTCTCTTAAGGGACAAATCCCACTACGGTTTAAGTATTTGGGACTCTCAGTCTCCACCATTTGTTTTGGACTGAAGAAGCTTGTCAGATACGAGGTGAAGCAAAGAAGTCTGGTCATTTTGTTTTTCCAGGCTCCTTAGATTACCAGGATGACCTGGATGATTGAGACCTACGCTGACATTCTTTGATAAATCCTTTAAAAACTATAATGAGATTTGAGAATAATTAAAGAATAATCATTAGAGGCACTAAAAAGATTACTGACGTAACAATAAACTTCAAACAGCAGCTTGTTTGTTTTAAAAAAAACTGCCTGGAGCTCTGAATGGGTTCATGAACTTTGCAGTACCCCTGTAACTTGTTATGTCAAGTTACAGGGGCAGTTGTTGAACCAGAAAGTCAGCCAACTTTTAGTTTCTGCTTACGAGATGTTTTCCACTCTCTCCACTTTACCACTGTTTCTCTTTCACTCTGATTTTCGCACATTTGGCTTCACATGCTTCAGTTTTTTTGTGGTTGGTAATTCCTCCACATCTGTCTAATGTTTTGCCTTTCGGAGTTTTTCCCAGACGTTAAGGGTTTTAAAAGTGAATATGGGTTAAGCCCACACTAGGGTCTTTCCCTTCCTCTGAGGAGATTACATCACCTCTTGCTTACGTTTCGCAAGATATAAAACATCCAACTCTTGCTGGTAAAAACAAAGCATGATTTGGCATTTTAGCATTTTTAACATGTGGATAAGCAATACATGGCAGAGGAGAGGGAAGGAAGATCAGATTGTTGATTGCTTCACAGACATGACTGAGCTGAAATCTCAATTTTATCATCAGTACAGTGCAAAGGATGGGAAAATAAGCAGGCTCTTACTTGTGAATATGAAAGAGGGTATTGTATTAGAAAATGCAGCTACAAGTAAACATGCTGAATGTGAACATGTATAATTTGTTCTCTCTCAGACCCTTTGAGTCATCTTTTGTGGACATTATTCATCTCAACATGTTTACTCTGCACTCACTCATCTTTCCACCCTTCTGACCATCACACCTCTCTATTTAGGTCAAAGGAAGACACCACCCACTGTGTACAACCCCCATACACAAGTCTGTTGTGATGGATGTGTATCAGGAAAGAAGCCTTGGATAGATCAAGTAATGTTTTCATTGTTCATTTTTTTTTCAACCCTGATCAACTAGATGAATTTTTCATTTCAGTGCAAGTCAACAATGTCTGTGGCAAAATCAACCCACTCTTTCCTTATGAAGCCAGAAGACCAAAGCACTGTTCCTTAAAAAAGAGAGAGAAAAATGTATTAAGGCCATACTAGTGAGATTTTGACTAAGTAAATGTTAGCACATACATTACAGTATTAAATTCAGTTAAAATAACTTAAAATGTATAGAGCTAACAACAGGGTCCCAGTCATTCCAGAAATGCAAGTTCTTTGTATGCACCTTCCACGAGAAAGCATGGAGCTCCACCCCGCTCCTTTTATAAAGTAACTGGGTGTTTTTAATGTGGTGCGTAAAAGTCATCTAAAGGCATACTTACCACTGCTGCAAAAGGATACCAAGTCTGGTAAGACTAAAACAAGACACATTATGAAATTAGATGTACTTACAGTTTTTTACAGACGCTAGGACACATTTCTCAATACTTAGGTCACTTTTGCAAAACTCCTCACACAGTGAGCACAACAGAAGTCTATGTGGGCTAAACTGAGGATCAGTTATCATTGTTTTGGCACAAAATGCATTCAATGACTACATCTCTCAAATTTCATGAATTATCTTCTCACTCAGACACAACAACTGCCAAAAATCTTTGTACGTACAGGACATTTTGCATGTGCTTACATACTGTTTTCAAAACTGTTAAACTTATGGCCAAAACAATAACACAATGCAAAACTTAAAAAGACAGCAAAATCCAACAGCAATATTTTAGTGAAACATATTTTAAATCTAAAAATGCAGTTTAACCAGCCACAGCTTATTCTCATTGTAGATGAACATCTACACAGGTGTTACTCCTTCAATTTTTCAACTCCTTCAATTCTGGCATGCCAGAAGATTCTTTCCTAGGTGTATTGCCCTAGATGACATGAGATGTGATGTGGATGAGAACCTGTGGCCAAATGGAGGAGACCGAGTAGATTAGCATTACTATTGTATGTGTATCAGTGGATGGTGTGTATACAAATTCTTGTATTTTGGGATTACTTAGTGCAAAAAAATAAAAATACATAAACAAATATTAACGAATTCTGCATGATGTCCGATTCATTCCAGTAACATATATTGAAATTATAAACAGAGATGTGTCCTTGTTTTACACAAGAAAACACTGTGTAATGCTACATGTTGTTAGTGTTTTTTAGGTCATTGTTTTGTGGGTGACAAAGTGTGTTTGTCGGCTGTCAACCTTTGCTAGTGTTCTGGAAGAATGAGTTTATTTGAGACCTGAATAAAGTGTTTTGGTAGTTGTAGTGCATTTTGAATGTGAAATGAACTGCTTTGCCAAGCTGACGGTCAGTTAGGAGAATTGTGTGAAGAGTTTTGCAAAAGTGACCTAAGTATTGAGAAATGTGTCCTAGCGGCTGTAAAAAACTGTAATGTAAAATTGTAACCCTTTTTCTTTGCTTTTAATATTACTGATTTTCAATTTTTCATCTTTTTATTTTCCAAAACTAATACATTTTTGTGTTCACCTATGTGCAATAAAATTTTAACGTTACAGAGACAGGTTGTGTCACAACGCTGCAATGTTACTGTATTATCTCTGATTCTTCCAGTGCTGTGGAGAGACGCCGTATGGCTCAGCACAACGTGGAGTTCTGTGTTGTAATAAGACCTTGTACGAGGGCAGAGACGATGGAGAGGAATGTTCGGAGATAGGTATTCCTTACAACCCGGCTAAAGGGACCATGTGTTGTTCTCACTTTCATGGCAGCCCAGGACAACACTGCTGTGGGACTGAAATTTACCAGCCTGATGTTGAGATTTGCTGCAATGGACACAGGTGATTGTGTGTGTGTGTGTGTGTGTGTGTGTGTGTGTGTGTGTGTGTGCGTGTGTGTGTGTGCTTCACATGGATTATTAAAGAATTTCTTCTTTCTGAGTCTCTGACAGTATTTGGCACAATTTGAGATCAAATTTATTGTGGAAAACTGTCTGTTTGCTTGCCACCATTCCAGTAATTTATCTATTTAGAAGAACTAAAATATTTAGGAATTAAATTTATTGTACCATTCAATATTTTGTATTGATAAATGGGTTGGAAACCGTTGTAATGTTATCAGAGTTATCACCCAAATCAGCAGCTATTTATATCTGGGTTTTAGTTCTTCATTTATGTTCAGTTTTGTATCAGTTGAACTGGTTGAGTCTTGGCTGCTCTCATAAGTTCGTTTCTACTTGTAGTAGCTGTGAAAGTGTGGTTGAGAATGGCTCTGGGTATAAATGCATTCTGTGTAGATCCTGACGGAGTGCTGAAACTGCAGCTCCAATATTTTTCTTTCACTGTGTAAACCCTGTGCTGAAGAAATGAAGATAATACCTTTCAGGCTGAAATCTGTCAATATAGATAATGGCTCATATAACTCAGGCTCCAATAAGCTTACATTTTTCATCTCACTCTCCATATTTGATATTAATTGATACCTCTGTTTTCCAACCAGACATCCCAGACTGAGAAACATCCACTGCTGTGGGGTCAAAGCCTACAACATTAAAGACCCACAGATGAAGTGCTGTGCAGGAACACTGTACAATCTGACATCATTAGATGAGCATGGGGGGGATGCGCAGTGCTGTGGATCCATTCTGCAAAAGCCACAGGTAGAGTCAATGATATTGATGGCGTCAACAAAGTATTTTGTATTTCCTACCACTGCTTCACCCCCTTTAAACAGGCTTCTGCCTGTTGTAGGCACGAAACATGATTTAAAGTTACTTTTGGCTACAGTGGTTAGCATAACTGATGCTAACTTTTAATGCTAGATTTTTTTGTGAAGGAACATGAAGCGTATTTTTTGAAGAAAATTAATTGATATAGGTCTGGGGAAAAACTTAAGAAAGCAGCAGCTCCCTCCCACTACGCCATTGAAAGTACTGTTTAGTAATGAATGTTATACAACTGGAAATCTTCTAAATAGCAAAGTTGAATATCGGGGTTGCACCCATAAAAAGCTTGCCAAATTTTCTCTGCTAATGTTACAATGTTTTTGTAACAAAGAGCTGATAACTGAGGATGTAGCAAGATTATTGGCTTAACATGTAATGTGGCCTGACTGAATTAACACAATGCCTCAGTGACTGCAAACAATTATGTTTTTATTAACAATAACACATAATATCTTTTCAAAACCAGGAGATTTGCTGCTCAGGTGAGGACAAAGAGGTGCTTTACACTGTCAAGACAGGATTTGGATGCTGTGGTCACCTCTATTACAACACCACTTTGTGGTCGTGCTGCACTGGGAGGCTTACATTAATCAATGAATCAGAACAGGATCAGAGAAAGATGATTAATGGTCAGTCGCATACATTTAGATGTCCTCTCACAAAGTAGAACTTCATTTTGTGTCATTTTAACATGATGGCACAGCCCAGATTCTGCATTTTACCAATAATATGTCTATACACTTTTTTTTTCAGAATACCGACATTTCTCTGTGAATAATCTGAACAAAACTTCTCTTTGCAATAAAGGTATGAAATATATACACATATTGGAATTCGATTGAAAAATAATGTGTATTTGTAATGCAATGTTCTGCATCTCTGTTTAGTGCGCATTGGGATTGTGGAAAGTGTGTCTCTGCATAGCATTGTTTTCAAGAGCATGCTAAAAGTCCATGGGAAGAAGGCCAAAGTCAAAGCTTTGTCTTTGCCGTACACCCTGAAAATAGTTGATCACTGCAGCTCCCCTAAACTGATTCCTGGGAAGATCTATATCTTTAACAACGTTAATATTTTCACTGATTTCAATCATCAATCTGTTCTTCAATCACTGCATTTCATTTTTTCCAAGTGTTCACCTTAGACCAGTAATCACATTCTAGTTACAACTGTATTCTTACTTGTGTTACAAAGGTCATCTCCTTGAAGACAGATTAGAAGAAGAGAAAATCATTAAAAGTGCCATATGGGCATTTCTTTCATTTTAGTGCATTGAAGGACAAGAACGTGCAAGTACAAACTACTTCGAGCTTGAAAGTAACATGCACATTGATCCCAGCCAAGCAGCTAGAGTCCTCATTCTGTTTATTTGGGACTGTAGTCTAACTAGTGTGATGGTACACCTAAGGTCATGTTAGAGTAATGCAAAAAAAGATAAGATGAATAAAAATTATTTATTTATAAAACTATTTAAAATGTAAAGTAATTAAGGAAGTAATAACTACTTCAAAATCACCAAGAAATGTCAAACTTTAATTACTTTAGTTACAATTATGTCTTTACTTGTGTTACTTTTAAAAAAAACAATGAGCAATGTGTAATTTCTTACTGTTTATGGGAACCATCCCATCTTTATGTAACAGTACAACATTCAACCTTACAGACCCACACAACAAAAAAAGAAGATATAAACGTGATCATCTTTAGGTATAGCCACAATTACCAGCAAAGTTAGTGGAAAAACAGCTCAAAATTTTCAAATAGCCAGTTCAGTAGAGTTCTCTGGAATTGACACAGTCATCTTAAGCAGCGGTCCCCAACCTTTTTATGCCCGACAATATTTTCATGGACGGACCTTTAACACACGTGAAAAGACCCAGGAAAACCGAGTTAACGAGCAAAACGATAACAAAATAACGCTGAAAACTGATAAAAACCCTGAAAACCATACATTTCATACCTGAGCCTCTACTCTCGCAGCCTGGTACCAAACAACTCACGGACCGGTACCGGTCCGAGGCCCGGGGGTTGGGGACCACTGATCTTAAGCACTGCTCAGGGTCTTAGGGTCCTTTTTCAGGTTCTTGACAAGAATTGAATCCTGTTTGCAGCAATGGATAGATGCTTCTCACAGTGAAATCAATGTATTGCACTAATCTCAATTGCTCAATGTTGTACACCACTGTATTTTTTGTGTTTCTGCAAGGTGAGCCCACTTAATTGTTGCATTGTTGCATACATGAAAAAGCTAAAACTGTTTTTTTAAGTCAAACCCACACTATTGAATGTATGCATGTATTATAAATCATATGTTTTATTTTACTAGCTAAAGCTAGAGAACAATAAGCACTTACTTCTGAATTTCATAGATGTTATAAGAATTGCTATTTCTTCTTAACTACCCAACTGTGTTCACCTTTGTGTAAGCTGTAGTTACTTTTTAACGAGAATGTGATTTACGTAATGTGATTAAAGATAGAGTACTGTAACTGGCAGATGCAGAGTGGGTACTATGGATGAGCCCCAGGGGTCCAGGCTCACCCAATAAAGTTATAGTGCCTCCTGAGCTGAATTGTATGCTATACTGTAACTAAGTTACACTAATTCACACAATTTGGTGATTAAAAAAAAACGCCAAACAAACCTTGGACCCATCCAGGTCAAACTTTGGGAAGTGCCTTTCTCTTTGAAACAAAAAAAAAAAAAGAAAGAAAGATTCGTCAGGTTGTGAAGCTAGTTTTAAATCATGACCCTATTCAAAGGTTTCGAAATAAATGGAAATCTGTTCAAGATATTTACTTAGGTTTATTGAGCCACTTCTGCACTTCTGTCTCTTTTCCTCTGCAATATAAGACAGATGCATTTTTTTTTAAATATTTCTCTGTGAATGTTTGGTGCTATGCATGTATTTATATTTAATTTTTCTATAGAATAGTAATGTGACTTGTGTTGAATGACTCCTGTCAAAGTTGGTTGTTCTTCCAGTTCATATGGTCTGCAATTGACCCAGGGTAAAGGTTTGCCATTTTTGTACTGTATATTGCTTTATTAGAAGTTGCTGACATCTTTCATTTTTTGAGTTGATTTATTAAAGAAAACAATATTGTACTCATAAATGCACATTTATTATTGTCTAATTCTGTCTTCCAACAAACCGATGTAGTTCAAGGGCTTAAAACGAATCCATTAAAATACATAAGACTGGGGCCAGTTTTTTGCACCACCATCTTAAATACAGTAGCCAAGATTAATATTGCCAATCCATCTAACTACGATTTATGTATGTGGCTATGTACTGGTCACATGTGGACAACAGAACTCACTGACATTTGCATACTATGGAGACAAAGTTTAAGACTTGAATTAGGAGAAGTAAGAAAGCAGAATTAAGTTGAAGGCAATCTACTAGTAATTGGCGGAACCACAAAGAGGAACACAACATAGATTTTCCAAAGAAGGTTTGACTGTTGTACTAAATTTTGTATATATTTAAGTTTATTTAAACCACTTTCTAATGCATTGAACTATAATCTTGAAGGCAGAGTGATCAAACGGTATTGAATGTCAAAATTATTCTATACATGTGTAGCCCTGTCTGAAATTATTCAGGCTTACAGGGTAAAGAAAAAAAAGTCTACTGTTATAAAAAATGGTTAAAATATAAATAGTTGATAAAATGTTTAAAAAACATATGCTTGGGTACCAATGTATTTCGTCTACAGTTAAGAGTCCAATAAATAAAAGGGTTTCATGATTTAGAGTTCATTTTCTGTACAGAATCAATATGTTCGGTTGTAACCTAAGTTTATTTATCCATCTAATTTCCGTTGCCTCAATGTTGTATTGTCATTGGTTGTTGTGCTGACGAGCCAGTCAATGTCACTCTTCTATGTTATGGGGGCGGGACGAGTGGTAATGTTTGTGTGAATCTGTGGGAGCGGACACAGAAGCTAAGTCCGAAGAGAGAGATGTCATAAGGCAAACGTGGTGTGGATTTTGCATCTAAATGTATCATTGAGGTCGACTACCCGTGGTCCTGATATTACTTATTTGTGATCTGCAAGAGGTAAATGAGACTGTGTGCCTTGACATTTGTACTGTAACTATTCGTTATAGTGATAAAATAGCGTGATATGTGATGCTAACTAGCGGCTTGCTAATTAGTGCAGCTTACCGCGTTATGTGCTGTGATGCCATGCTGTATGTTTAGCTCTGTGATTTTCAGTCAAAGCATGCTAATGCTAAATCGTTATGTGATAGCATTTGGTATTGTAGCTCACGTGTTTTAATATGTTTAGAAGCCAAGGGACGCTCTGAAAGGAGAGGGAGAGAGAGGTGTCTACCCAGATGGACCCTGCTGTTTTCTCACCCCTGGCTGTTTTCTCACCCCTGACTGTTTTCTCACCCCTGACTGTCTTCACTACTGGTGAACTAACTGCCCATTTCTGATTGCCCCACTAACAAACTCATTGGACTCGTGAGTACTAACTGGAACTAAAGTGCACGTATTTTGTTTTATGGCTCAGTTTGAGTGAAGCGGCCATCAGTTTTAGGCCTCACCGCACCCGAACTTCGAATCAGGCCTGCAACAAGCACCGTGCTACAGGTGTAGTGTGGACAGGTTAAAGTTTTTGTGTGTGTGTGTGTGTGGGCCCACTGTTACAAATTTGGTTTAAATTGAGTAAGTGTGTAGTTTTAATCAAAGTTATTATCAAAGGTTGAAATTCATCCATTTTAAAGGTGTGAGCTGTTGTAACTGAAATAACAGTTGGCACCTAAGAAAGAGGTATTTTGTGTTGATAATCTTTTATTTATAATCCATGTAGTCACATTTACAGTATTTTTGTTTGTTTATTTGAATTCAATTCATTTTATAAAAGTAACTGTTTATTTTATTCATTTCTTTTTGTCTAAATAAATACCCGGTGAGGGATAAATTTGTGTAAAATACAGTTGTGGTGGTCCTTATTAGTTAAATTAGAGGGTATCAGGTAGAGCTGGGCGATATATCGAGTTTTTAAAAAATATCGATATATTTTTATACGAGATATAAGATGTGACAATATCCTTTATATCGATATAGTCTATGTTACGTTATAATTATACTTGTGGAGCCGCAAGTTTGCCTCTCTTTCGTCCACTTTCGTCTTTACGCAACGTTACTCGGCCTCGCCTCTCCTTCACTGAACACAACTCCCCCTCCTCCCCCATCGCTCCACCTGCAGGAAGCGACAAGATGGACACGGCAAATCTCCGTTAACGAGTTACTGCGCATCGCCCCGTGTGTGGGGCTGGACGACGTCAACGTGTTAGCTAGCTAACCGCGCTAACGAGCTAACGACGCTAACGCCATGCAGCCCAGGGGCTGCACGGACTAAAATCCTTTCATTTTCTCAAAAGTTGACAGCGCACCTTATGTATGAATTCTGGTTGTGCTTGATGGCCGCGAACCGATTTTATGTGGAACACGGCGCTCAGCAATCTGTCAAAAAATGTTTTAGTACGACTTTGATAAGCTACGGAGCTGCACCGCTTGATGGATTGTCGGAGGATTACGGCTGAGCCTCGCGGAGTGATACGTACTGTGCTTCAACGTAATATTACCCTACTGTGTATAAGGACCATAAATGGCACCTGTTAAGAGACGTGGTTGCGAAGCGGATTTCAAACTCCAGGCTGTCAGTCACGCAGTACAAGTTGGGAACAGAGCAGCTGTGAAATCTGTCTTTGTTACTATGCTTAGCGTCTTTTAGTTTACATTTTGACTGCACAATTGTGAGCTTTTTGTTATGCACAAAAACAACATTGTTTTCTTTTATTTATGGAGCATTATTATTTAATAAATGCTCATTTATTTTTGAGTAAATTTTATGTACATCTGCTCTATGTTAATAAAAGTGCCTGTGTGACATCTGGGACACAGCTTTGACTAAGAACTCTCTTTTTGTTCTTACTTTATGACTTTAAAAAAATATATCGAGATATATATCTTATATCGCCATCCAGCTAAAAAATATCGAGATATGAATTTTGGGTCATATCGCCCAGCCCTAGTATCAGGTATCATTACTAGTAGCACTACGAACCCAGGCCCAGTCTCATTGTACTATATACTCTAGCTTTACCATAGCTACGTGGGACCTGGGTTACACATGAAAGATTAATTCGCCCTGTTCAACTGTGATCACTCTCTTGTCTTTGACCTCTTGTTCCCATGTACAATCTTTTATACAGAAAGTATATTATGTATACAGTGGTTACTCGTTTATTGCGGGAGTTAGGTTCTAAAAATAACGCGCGATAGGTGGAATCCGCAAAGTAGCTAGCTTTATTTTTTACAATTATTATAGTTGTTTTAAGGCCGTATAACCCCTCACTACACACTTTATACACTTTTCTCAGACAGGCATGAACATTTTCACACTTTTCTCTCTTGTTTAAACTCTCTCAAAGTTCAAACCTTTGTAGAAAAATAAGTCCAATATTATAGAATGAATCCAAACCCTGTTTTCAGTTCCAGAACATGGGAATAGTGCAGCTGTAAGAGAATTTAACACTAATGAATCAATGGTACATAAGTGGAGGAAGCAAGAAGGATGATTTGCACCTCACAATGCGTGTGCCTTATGGTCTGAAAAATAGGTAACTTCCCCCTTCCTTTAGCATGTCCAGAAGTCCAACTTTTTGTGCGGTGGTTAGCATCTTCCTCTGCCCTTTGGGTGCTACTGCAGGTGCCTATGAGGGTGGAAAACATTTCATTGACATTGTTGTGTTTGTTGGGGAGAAAACTTATAAACATACAGTACAGCAGTTCAGAGTCACACTGCTAGCGATCAAAGATTTATGTAAATTTGACAAACTGAACACATTCTGTACTGTGC